TGATCGCCGATATGCGTATTCTTACGTTATGCCAATTACGGTTGGAATGCTGATGATGTCGATTCCACATGTAAATTATACGGCATGGAAAGGGTACTGTGTTGGTCTCATTCTGCTTTTTTATTATTTCCTATCGCAGGTTGCTGAAAAACCGCGGGTTTTCGATATTTTCCTATTTTCTGGTGAAAAAGATTTGCTCGAAATCCGACTACGTACACTGAAGGACGTAAGTATATTTTTATTCCGATTGGAAATATTGTCATCATAGGTTGTGGACAAATTCGTTATTCTTGAGGGCACCGAATCGTTCCAAGGTGAACCCAAGAAACTCATCTATCCCTCCATCCAAGATCAGCCACCGTTCGCATCTTTCCGAGACAAGATTCAATATAGAGTGGTTGACACGAAAACTGGCGGGTATTCATACAGGAGGAATCTATAATGTTCCCGAGGGGAACTCATTTTCAATTTTCCACGTATGGCTAGGAACACATTCTTCAATCAGTTTCCCATGTAAATGTCATTATCACATTAGGAACATTTTCCGCATTATTATCGATTTGTTAATAATGCGCATGAATAATGGAAAATTTTTGATAATATCGAACCTCGACAAACGCTGTCCCTCGAAGTTAGATGTTTCGAGGAAGAATCTTGCTTATACAACTCCGTGGAAAAAATACTTGTGTGTTTCTCTAGGGGGTTCAAGGCAGAAAGCACCCATAGAGGAATGAACATGTTAAAAGCGGCTGAAGAAGCCGGCCTTAAGAAAGGAGATATTTTTACAGTTGCCGACTTGGACGAAATTCCACGCCCAGATGTTCTCCGGTAGCGAGAGTTTACTCGCCTCAGTTTTGGTATTTGTTGTTCCACAGGGTTTTGAGCTCGTGTGGTCCCTGGCCTGACAGTAGCAGCAGAGTTCAACTTGATTTACAGAATCATCTATATGCATTTTCATTAACCTACCGAGAACGTAGCCGGGCCGCCAGCGTTAACCGGTGAGTTTAGTGGGGTACATAGTGCGAACAAAACCGATCACTGCCACGGTTTTCTCCAAGTTGAGACTAGTACGACTGTAGACCACGAAACATTTTTAAAACGTTGGTGTCAATCGATTCACATTCTCATCATGTTGATATCACTCAAAGTTGATCTTCGAACCCCCAAGATTGAAGGCGCGAAAAATACTACTTCTTTGCATAACGGTTTGGTTCACACTGTACATGAATTTCAATTGACCATGTGCTAGTTACGATCCGTCTACACCCGTGGACTCGTCCTTCACGCATGGACCGGCCGTATCATACGTTGTTTTTGCTGACGCGGGATGGCATTGTAGTTGGTGTCTGCAGTCATTGTCGCAGTTCAAAGCGAAGGCTCTGGGTTACTCTCACCAAGATAGGTAGTTGTTGATATTAGTGGAGTTCCACCAGTTATACGTGAAGTGGCGTAAAACTCGGTGAAAAACTCGATATTCGCGCCATACAGTAGTCGTGGAATATGTTTCTCACTAGTGTTTTTCATATCGCGGGTGAAACACCAGTAATTTGACGGTATTGAATTTTCATGGTGGCGAAGTGAAAAAATCGCTGACAGTGTGGAAAAATATGGAGATTTTGGGAAATTCTAACTGGCCTGCGTACACTTCTACCCGAGCTTTTATGATTAGTGAGGAGATTCCTAAGCTAAGGGAATGAAGTATATATTTCTTTAACAGTAGAGTTTCACTGGTGATATGAAAAATCCAGTGAGAATAATATTAATAAAATAGTATCTGTTTCTCACAGAGTATTACGTCACTTCACGTGAGACGGGTTGTGATTTACAACTTGTGAAACTCCAATTGATTGATGATCAGATTCCTCCATCGTAAAACGGCCACGAGTTCGAGCGAATTTCAGAGACGTATATGTGAAAGACTCCCCACGGTAGACGGGTTTATCCCGGAGGCATATGGGTATAAAGAAATGGCCATGCTCAGTCTACCCCTTCGATTCACTGCCAGCAGTAATGTGGGGGGATTGCCGCTCATCTGAACGTTTATTAATGGAGTTTTGCCATGATATGAAGAACACAACTCGCATATTATTTTGCGGTAAATGCATGTGAGCAGGAAATTACGTGTAGAATTCGCAACCTGAGGTAATTTTTCCAGTGTAATTCGCGGAGTATTTTCAATTCACTTCATAGCGGGTTTTTCACCTTGAGTAATATGCCACTTCACGTGAAACGGGTGAGACTCCAATATGAAAATCACGTGAGAATCGCCTGGTCTCAAATCTTAGGACAGAACTTGAATCGCTCATTAGGAG